GGGGAGAGAAAAAAAGAGAGCGGCAGAAAGAGAGACAGAGAGGCACTCATGCCAAGAATTGGAGATTGTGGGATCACGTGACAGAGGAGAAGAAAAAGAAAGAGGAGGAGGAATGCAGCAGAGAAGAAGAAGAAAAAAATGATGAGGTAAAGAGGGCTGACGATGGGCAGCTGCAGCGGCGACGATAGTTGCGAAGGGGTAGAGGCGACAACAACGGCGACAGAAGGGTGAAGTGAGGGAAGAGGGGGGTTGCACCGATTGTGTTCTTAGATTTGCAGGTGAAAGGGGTCGCGCTAGTGGAAGAAAAGGTGACAGGAAACAACGGACAAGAGGAGAGACGACGGCAGCGGCAACGGCGATGACGATGGCGACAATGAAGGGTGGTAGTAATTTTAGGGTTAGGGTTTGAGTTAAGAGAGAAAATTAATGCTTAGGGTTTTGGTTGAAGAAGAAATGAGTATTTTGGTAATTTTATTTTAGGACAAAAATGTAATAAAAATATATATATCATTAAGTGTGTGGAATGAAAGGAAGAGATGTGTGGAAATAGAAGCTCCCAAAAGATATATACTATATGCAAATTATGATATTTTGTGATATATTTATCTCTAAATATCACACTAAATCATAACCCAAGGTCATATAACCAAACACCGCTCGCTCGAGGCATAATCAAAGATTTTTTAGTCATAACTAAAATAGCAACTACAATAAATTATAAGTGAATCAAAACTAACAACACAATACGTTACAACAAAAAACTACCAAGGTCCTAACTAGAATATGTAAGACACTACTGTATTACAGAATTTCCATTGTAAATTATTTTCCAGCAATATTATTAAAGTGGATAGCTTTTTATACTTACTGTGTTGAGGAAAACTTCTTGCCGCAGTTTTGGGCGGAATTGATTGAACTGAAAGGAAGAGAACACAAAGGAGCAAGAGGAGAGAGACCTTATGATTATGGAAGTAGTACATCTTTCCCAAAAAATATTTTGGTTTGGTATATATGTGAAGAAGTGCCAATTAACAAGTCATTCCATTTATATACTACTATATAATAACGTGATCTGTGAATGTAAACTAAGGTTTTGTGCGTTTGAGAGTAAAACTATAATTATTATAGATGTGGATTGATAAATTTGCTATTCGTAACCAAAATGTTGTTCGAGCAGTTTCAACATGTTAGTTGATTAAACAATAACCTCAAATATTTACATAATATATAGTATTAATTTACATAATATTTTTTTATATATATAAAATTACCTGATTTTATATAATACTTTTTTATATGTATAACACTAATTTACAACAGATTTCATATCTCAGATCTTTTTCACATCGATTCTTTTTTTATGCATGAATTATAACAGGGCAAAACAATTTCAAACATTAATTATAAATTTCAAACTGCAGATTAAACCAACTCATGATTAATGAGCAAATCAATACAAATTAAATAATTTTAACAGATTGAGCGATATAAAATGTGAATACATTTTGGAATAATATTGAATTATGTTGCCAACTTGCCCGTTCGACACGGTGAAGACTTTGGACATGGGGAGTCCACGGGCTAGTTTCTTCCAAGACATTTCTTTTGAAAAGACGTTGGACCAACACACCTCAATTCTGCACCAATCCCTGCCTGTTCGACCCGGTGAAGACTTTGGATATGGGGGAGCCCACAGACTAGTTTCTTCCAAGACATTTCTTTGAAAAGTTGGACCAACACACCTCAATTCTCCACCAATCCTTACGGTTTAAATATCTAGCAACGGGATTTTTCTAGCCCACGAAATTTGATTGAGTCTAATAAAGCATTAATCACATGACAAGAAAAAAAAAATCAAGACTAAAATATTACAGTGGATGGGATTCACTGTCAGATCATTAGAGCTGACTTTAAAGCTCAAACATTTTTTTTAAATGTTTTAAGAAAATAGAATTTATGGACGGATCCTATTAATCAAAATTATTTACTTAAAGTCTTATTCATTTTTCATTTGTCAATATTTCTAAAATATCCTCCCCACAAATTTTTCATCCCCATTATCAGCATTGCCAGGACTTTCCCCTGTTCAACTACCCCCTCTAGTCACCATCTCCAGCCGATGATGCCGATCTCTAATTGCCGGCGACCACCACCGGTAGTTATCTTCGATCACTAGAAACCATCTCCGACGACCATTTTCTGAAGACATTTTCTGACAATTTGAGACTACCTCCAACCCCCGGGATCAATTTTCAATGACGTTTTCTACAAATTCTCAGACCATATTTCTAGAAGAAAAAAAAAAAAAACCAACAGCATCTCCACCACCACCACGTCACATTTAGAAAGCTTTAGTGTAACGCTCTAAATTTCTAGCCCAAATGCTAATGCAACAATTATGGCTCTTTTAAAGAAAACCGAATATAAATCTCCAAACTTACATTACATGATACAATAGTTCTTCATACAATAATACATCAATCCAACAACAAGTAAATAAACAAATAAATATCTCCAAGAGTTTACAAATTTTCAAGGCTTGAGCCTGGTTACACAAAACAGTTATTCAATCCCACACACATATAGCCATTGGCTTACACACAGAGTCACAGTAAAATGAGAGTCTCATACTCTCAACACACATTTCATCGCCTTTAGTTAGGCGGCATCATCACATCTTTTCTTGTACAAAAATCCCGTAGAGTGAGCATAAAGCCCAGTAGGAATTTCTTAACAAAGTATATACATTTTATACAAGTCTCAAAGATGAAATGCACATATCATGCTATGTCCCTTTTTGAAAATAAATCACGTTTTCATTTTTTAAAAACCATCATACTCAATGATGTCATGCAATTTCAATTGTTCAAAACTTAACAATTTATTTCAATAACGATAAATACAACTCTGGTAATCCCTAGGTCGGTGTCTGTAAGTAGACTATACAATTACTACCAAATTGTCATTTTTACCGGTATTAACCAGAAAACTCAACACCTATCCGCGCGGGTTTTCGGTTTTTCACCCCAGACTTTCAGGCCAACTTATTCAATATCATCTACACCACCTAACAAGACTTGCCAACGTATTTACCCCAAAACCATTTCATGAAAACTTATTTCTCAACATTCTTTTCTCAATGCAAGCTTTCAAATCAACTTTCAAAGTTTAATGTAATCAAATGAATTATTATGCCAATAATACAAAATGAATGTAAATACTTTTATTCCAATTCATCATCTAAGGAATAACACAATTCCCTCTTCTCAAGTATCCTCAACAATTAGTCATTTCAAGACTATTTCAACGTTTTGAACAATAATTTCCAAAATGAACAACAATTCTCGTATTTCCCGAAATTCATCATTTATATAAATATAAATAAGAAATTTTCCAAACATATATTTATTTTGACACACAAAATAAATACAACAATAACATTCTTGGATTTTCAGTCTCTTTTAAAAAAATTCTCAAATTCTAGGTTTTCTCACCAAAACTATACAACTCAAATCCTTTGAAAGAAAACTTTCTAAAATCATTTTTTCTTCAATCAATGAAAATCAAAACCCATAAAATCATTTTAAAAAAATAAGAGACAAACTCACTTTCAAAATCGCTCAACTTCTTGAATCAACAATCAATTTTCAAAGCTATTGAAAGATGATATGATTTCGAAAATCATAGAGATCTTGCAAAAATATATATATAACTCTCAAGTTCTGAAGAAGAAATGAGATGAAACCCCAAAATTTACGATGTTGAAACTTGATTTCCACCGCACACAACGAAACCCTCGAGAATTTACACAACTTTGATGAAGAACTCGGTCTAACTCCCAACGGATTTGAAGAAATCAAAGAGAGAAGATGACTTCTAGAGAGAGAAGCTCTAGATCTAGAAATTTTGGAGAGTTTTAGAGAGAGAGAGAGAACTGAAAAACTGATCTGAAATCTCCCCTTATAGACTGATATAATATAGTCCGTTCGAGCGTGAAATATACTTTTCCGTAAGCAATTTCGAATGCATTTTGCATTTTTGCTTTCGGCGAGCTAATCGGGCAACTCAACCCCTGTAAGTTGACGAGGTCAAAATCGGAATCACTACACTTAGACCATATTGGGAAAATGGAAACAGAAGCACAACTCAACTGTTTATACATGCTCCTACAAGCTCAACTTGTCACCATAAAATAATTCTCATCACTCTTCACATTCACAAATCAACACAAAGAATCAAATACAAATCTAGTAAAAAAATTTATGATTGACACATTTAACAATAAATTTATCGCTGATTGTTTGTTAAGAAATTACAAAAATAAAATATTGCCATCATCATCACAAATCAACACAAGATTCAAAAACATATTCAGTAATAAATTTATTACTGATAGACATATTCAGTGATAAATTTATCACTGAATATTTGTTAAAAAAATTACAAAAAGAAAATTTACTCATCATTGTCACAAATCAACTCAATATTCAAACACATATTCAGTGATAAATTTATCACTTATATATTAAACCCTTTGCAGTAGATTTGGTTTGAGAGAAATAAAGAGGGAGAGAGCATTATATGAATGAGCATTATATGAAGGGTTTAGATTTTTTCATGTTCATATAGAGAATTAGGGCGAACCCTGAGGTCCATTATGAGTCTCGTTTCGATAATTTAAATAATTCATTTTGTAAAATCTCAATTTATATTATTCATAAATAAAAAAAATATACCGATGCAATAATCATAATTTTTTTTTTTTATATTTGTCATGATTTTTTTATAAAATAAAAATGTTACAATTATTGAATCAAACTAATTTTTTTTATGAATCATATACATTAAAAACTTTACAAAATGAATGATTAAGATTATTAAAACAATATCTATGATAAACTCCATAAACCTCTCAATTTCTCTTATATTGAAATGTAAACATGAATAAAACCCAACCTTTATATATAATTACTCCAGTTAAATTTTCAATTTTACGATAATTTAGCCCAATAAGAAACATGAATAGCATTTTTAATAGAAAATGAACATGTGGACGACAAATGAGTGTTTTCCAATGGCAAATTAGACATTTAAGTCACCTCCTTCCTCTTTCTACAACAAACAGCCACCCACTCCCTCTCCCCACCACCTCTTCGACACCCACCACCACCAAACAATACCACCCTACCACCACCATCATACCTCCATTACCCCTGTCACCACCAAACACCACTGTGCCCCTTTTGCGACCACCAAACGCCACCTCCGCCACACCCATCACTACCATTCCACCTCTTTTTGTCACCCCAACATTCCCACCGCCACCAAACACAAACCCTAGATCCAATTTCAAACCCCAAATCTATAGATCTCCATCATGGACACAAGAGGGAAGAGCATATAGAGATAGAGAGACCAGAGTTGCGGATGCCGTCACCATTGTGATTTTTGTTCTTGATTTTGTTGTCCCACTCTACATCCTTGGTTTTATCGCAGCTATTTGCGTCGCTTGTTTAGCCGGTACAATCTCAGCCTCGCTGAGCCCTTCATTCATTCCCCTCCCCCATTGCCGAAGGTGTGCCATTGGGAGGGGCTGCCACTGTATATAGAGGATTGCATCTGCTCCTCCAAATATAATAATTAAAGCTAACACTACCACAAATGTGAAACACACACACATATATATAGATTGATAGTATAGTATACCATGCAACACCTTTTCCCATCATGATCTAAAATTTCAAATAAAAATGGTAAAGCACAATTACCCCTCACAAGCCAGGAGTCAACAATCACAAAAGACAAGATTCTTGCCAAAAAGTACCACACAATGGAGCTAAATGGGGTTGTACAACTACACAAATCTCCCGAGTAGAGACTCAGAGACCTAGTCCAACAGTTCGGCCATCTCTTCGACGGAGTCCAGCAGTGTATTGCTTCTCCAAATCCAGCTGCAGTTCCCTCTGCTTCTCTGCTTGGAGGAGGCTGCTGCTTTCTTGATTGTCTGGTTTTTGCTCCACTTTCACGTCGCCCTTCACACCCTACAATCGGCCATAGGTACCAAGGCAACCTCAGACTCTAAAACCGTGTCAGTATGCGGGAAGAAATTATGAGTGAACAACTCAATTTAGGAACGAGCAATGAAAGGCGCATCATTTCAAGTTTTCTAGCTAGTATATTAACAAAATAAATGAAGGGACTGTAGAATTACCATGAGCTTGTTGAATTTTTCTTGCCGTTCACGATCGGAAAACAAAGCCGAATCCCAGTGATGACCAGACTGTAATATTTGAAAAGAGGATTGCACAAAACATATAAACTAGTGGTAATGATGAATAGCGTAGAACATTTATGCTGCATTTGTTTCGGAAGAAAACATTTTTCTAGTAAAATATTTTTACAGTAAACATGTTTCAGAAAATATTGCACGTAGATAATGTTTGCTTATATTTGGTTGTGACCTTAAAACTAGTATAACATAATAACAGAATTGATGACTCAAGATACCCAACCATCATAGTTCTTTTCCACCCATTTGGATCTTTTAGATGGAAACTATTACTTCTTGTGACTATGTCCACATTCTTCCTCCAAGTACAAGTCCCCAAAGAGGGATAAATAAGATGTTGGCAGAAACAAAAAAAAAATTACACGGAGGAATAATGTTAATATACCTCTTCAGCAGCGGTGTTCTTTTTATTCCCCCACAGCAGTTTCTTCTTTTGATCAGTGGACATGTAACCCGTTCCAATGAGGTTCTTATTAACTGTGTTTTTATTAAAATAAAAAACAAAAAAATAAACAGACAAACAAATGAGCATACTGCATCAATGTAAAATATTGATCAGTGTTAAGAATTGACTGATGCCTAATATAGGCGCCTTTATACCTAACTGAAGTTGGAAACATCAAATTTTGTCTTCAACATATTTTTAAGAAAGCAGCACACATATAATGATAAACCAAAAAATTCAGAATAGTTATCATCATAAACAACTTTTAAAAGAAACCCCAAGGGGTTGGCCTAGTGGCAACGCCTTGGATTTTGAGAGTGTGCTTCTTCCAAGGTTCAGGGATCGAAATCTCTTTGTGCTAACAATTCTTTGGGACCATCAGACTAGGAGAAAGCCCTTGAATTAACCATGGTGCACTTGTGAAAAACTCCTAGCCCTCAGGGAAAACCTTGAATTAACCATGGTATACTTGTGGGCAACTCCTTGCTGAGGGCCTATGCACCTCTGGAGATCAGTCGGGCTTTGATCCGGACATCCCGGTGCCAATAAAAATAAATAAAAAAAACTTTTAAAAGTCACAATGCTGACGAAACTAGACAAAGCTACTGCAATACCTAATTCCGCGGCTTTCATTGCAGCAACTTTTGCAGCATCTATGTCATTAGCAGCCTCAGAACCTTTCACAGGGGCCTGCTCTGAAGTCAACTTACCAACAAGCTCCTGAGCTTGCTTTGAACTTGAAGACTGCCTTTCATCAGCTACAGTTGTAAACTTTGAAACTAATTGATCAATAACAGTCATGAGAAATGATAAGGACTACTGAAAACGAAGAAAATGGTGCAATTAAACACTACAGGGGGGAAATTACAAAAGACAGAAGATGATGCAACAATTACCATCCTTACCAAAATCAGTGCCCGAGCTAAACTTTGTCTTTTTGGCAGCAGATTCTTGACTTCCACTGGTTTTATCTTCAAACAGCTCCCCTGGTTCTCTATCATATTGGTCCTTGTGCCTGCTAGTTTCCTGAGCATCGTATTTCTTCTTTTCCTCTTTGGTATACTTTTGACCATCCAATTCTCTAGGGTCACTTTTAGCAATTTCTTTCCGATGACTCCTAGATTCCTCATAAACAGGTGAACGATCACTTTTGTAATCCCCTGAACTCCTCCGATAATCCCTCTTTTCATCTCGACCATCTCCATCCCCCATATGCCTGTCCCGCTCCCCAGACTTCATACCTTCAACATTAGAGTTAGTGTTTCTCCTGCCAGATCCAGCTCTGTAGGATAATGAATCCTTGTCTTTATACTTCTGATACTCAACAGATGAAGTTTCTCTCTCCTTATCCCTGCTTCTACTCCCTGAACCATCAGATCTATCTCGGGAATACTTGTCATCACCCTGCAAATGATCCCTGGATCTGTAATGCTCACTTTCTCTCCTGGTACGATCAGATCGAGTGTCAACACTTCCTCTCCTGGATGACTTATAATTTCTCTCTTCTTCATCTGTATACTTTTCATGTCTAACATATTCATCCCGCCTATGATAATTATGAGAACTCCTAGAGGACTGGCGATCAGAATGCCTATATGAATGACCACTTCGGTCATGGTGATTCCTACCAGAATCCCTATCTACGCCCTTCCCATCATCCTTCTTTCGCCGAGGATCAGAGTCTCTTGCAAGATCTCCCCTTGAATGGATTGGACTACAGCTAGACTCACGTTTTGGACTACCTGCATATATACATCAAAGCTTAGAAACAAAGTTTAACAGTGTCTACATAAAAGGTTTTACATCTAAATATCCCACGTATTTTGAATGTACTAAAACAATCAACTTGTTGAGACAAGGACAAATAATGCTATTCGGTTCAAAGAAATGAGATGCAAGGTATTGGATGGAAATAGGCTATTTTGGATTCAAGGTCCTCATACAACTAGAAGCCATAGCATTCCTTGATATTACTATTGCGTAAGTAGTAAATAAACCATACCCATAAAAAGTGTACTATTTAAAAAAAAAAAAAAGGACAAAGATAAATTGTTCCTTATCCAAAATTAATCTACGACTAGAATCTCACACTTCTCAACTAAATCATTTGAGGAAAAAAAAGTGTCTCAATGGAAGAAAGGGCAAGAGTAGAAAACTTTGGCTATGTTTGTTTGGCGGATTAGGTTAGATGGGATTATGAGTACAGTGGAATTGAGTGAGGATATTAGTAATGTGGTGGTATTAAGTTAGAGATATAGAATAAAGAGTGTTTGTTTGTACGTCACTAGATTAGTAATACTATGGATAGTATTAATATATAAAATTAATATTTTTTAATATTATTATAATTATTTTTTTGTACTTTTTAAGCTCAATAATCTAAAAACATTTACAAATAAATTATTTATTTTTTGTTTTGCTACTTAAGCATCAATCCCACGGGATTGTTTTTCCAATCCCACGCTCCCAACAGGTGAGCTATGCCGGCCACTGTAGTGGATTGTTGATCAGCCTAGAGTACTAATCCTCCCATGAATTTTCAAACCAAACGTTCCATAGGTGGACCCCACCTCATTCACAAGCCACTCCTACCACTCACACGGCCAAACAAACGGAATTGAGTAATCCATATAAATATCAACCTTTAGGGAAGAGAGAGAGAGAGAGAGAGAGAGAGAGTTAACTCATTAACATCCCTAGAACTCAGGCATATTCTGGTTTTTACTAAATTCTGTGAAAATTATCAACTGAATAAATCTGAACAAACACAGCCAAAATTGAAGAACTAACCATAAGATGAGGATGACCCGCTAACTGGAGACCGGCGCCTATACTTCCTACTAGCTGCATCATTTGAAAGCTTACGAAATGCTGCCTTTGCATCAGCATTATCTGGGGATGGGGACAGTGCATATGGCTCCATAATTGCTAAAACCTGAAATCGCCAATATCTCTTGATTATATAAAATAGTTATTCTGCAATAAACATTTGACACTTTTCTTTTTTCTTTTTTTATGGGGTTATTTAGTGTAGGGGGAAGGAAGAAAATTTGCTTTGGATCTATAACAACTTCCTCATGTATGATCTAGACTTTCTAAACATTATAGCATATCAATCCTAAGTTCACCTCATTATTCAATATATTATAATATAAAAAGTCATTTGGTATTCTACAAAATTTGAGGTGCATTTCATTTTTAATCAATTAAGATGAATAAATTTTTGCTCTTTCAGGTTTCAACCAACATACACCTTAACTCTTTGTACTCTGTAATTTACGGGTAGCCAAACAAAGCAAATGGTATTACAGTTTTATTAAGATACTTCACAAAACCTACAACATATATACACAATTACAAAATTAAATTAAATTCTCCATTTGATTCCCCTTTTATTGTAATCAAATTGTTCATTTCCATCAATGAAGTATTGCTCAATTTTACTGTGAGAAGACAGTAGAGTTCGTGACGAAGTAGTGTTTGAGCCCTAAAATTAAACAGAACAGGAAGAGAATGAGAAGAGGCACAGAATTGTTATCAAAATGTTCCTTTCCATTAATGAAAAGAATTGCTATGTGAATCTTTACATACATGAATGATAATTGAGCTCCTCGTGTGATTCGCAACAATTCAATGGACAACAAAGAAACGAATCCTACAATACACTCACTCTGACGCTAGAAGATTCTTTTTCATTTTTTTTTTTTTTTTTTTTGTACTTTTCATTCGTTTTCTAAGCAACCAAACGGAGCATTTGAGCTAACAAATTCCATGAAACTAGGAAGAAGAAACCCAAAAAAACGAGAAGGAAAAAAAAACAACGATTTTACATAGCGATTTCTAGGGTTTGAGGAGTCAAAAAGGAGAAGAGATTCAAACCTTTGCGTGATTGGAATTCAATTCATGAAAAATCGAACCGTTCTATTGGGACTCTCTCTGAGGCACGAATACTCGTTCTTTGTTTGGAGGAAACACTCGATTCTCGATTGCAGTGCGCGGTGGCGTTTGGATGCGTGGTCAGAGGAGTCACATACCCTTTTATCTTTTTCTTTTCTTTTTTTTTGTTTTTTTTAGTTACAAATACATGGAAGAGTGAAATAAAAAAATCACCCCGCAAATGATTTTTTTTTAGTACAATTTTAACACACAAAAAAAATTGTAGCAAGTACAGTAATAAATTCAACAATAATAGATGATTCGAAAAATTATGACTCGAATGACTTGAAATACTTAAGATGATATCGTTTTGAGTATAAAATGACATTATTTTGACACATTCGAACTATTCAAACCACAAAAATTCAAGTTACCAAACATTTCCTTAATAAATTTGCATCATGCACATGGGGCAATTGCACCATCATTAAAACATATATATATATATATAAATCTCACTACTCACTAAAAATATATAATTTTTCCTTTTATTTTTAGTAAATTACAAATATTTATCCTAAAATTTACTTAAAGTATGGCTTGTTTCTTATAACCTTAGAAATTATATCACACATCTTTAAGTTTTCAATTCCATAACAATCATCTCTTTTAATAATAAATTATCAAATTAATTAATAGCTTTTAATAATATTATAAATATATTTTAATTAATAATTCAAATACTTTTATTATTGTATAGGTGAGTAGTTTGGAAATTTTTTTTGTTAATTCTAATAAATAAAAAATTGTGATAAGGTGATAGTATTTGTAATTTTTAAATTTACAAAGAATAATCTGTATTTTAAACAAATCTCAAAAGGATGTATTTTTAATTTACCATTTTTTTTATTTTGTAATTTATTACACCAAGACCCCTAGCAAATATTGTTTTACCGTCTCAATCTCTTCAATTATAAAAATTATACAAATACACATTTTTTTAGAGGTAATTTAGAAGGGTGAAATTTATACATTTTTATTGTCGACGGCGGTTAAAATGCAAGAGTTCTTATATGAAGGGACGAAGTGATATGTGGTAATAGTTTTGGAAGTTTTGGTGTAATCAATCAATTTTTATTCAAAAAATAAATAATTTGGGTAGTCAAATTATTTTTTTATAATAAATATACTTTTTCATTCCTATAGTTTATTTTATTGTTTCAATTTAAACAATTTTATTCATACATTTTAGGTCTATTTTAAAATTTATTTTTTTTGTCTAATTTTTTGTTAATTTTAATTATTTTCCTCCAAGTGTTTCAAAATCATTCATTTTGGCCTCTAGCTTTAATGAAATAACCAAATTAAAACTAAAATTTAAAGTATATGAATCAAATTGTTTAATTTAAAATAATATAGACAAAAATAAAATTTTAATAAAATTACAAGAATTATAATGTAATTTACAGTATTTTTTAAAATATATTTACACTTTCCACTATGTTGAGTGAGCTCTCTTTTATTATGTCACTTTGGACATTAAACATGTTTTTTTTTTTTTCATGCTTTCAGGATTATATCTGTCATTTCCATAAAATGCCTCTAGGTGTGATGATATCTACTTTTGGACTATATATTGGCTTCTGTAATGCTATATTTTGCACACCTCTCTACAATTCATATCATCCTTGATTATTTTTAAAATTGGTTCAAATACTCAATATCAACCCAGGCTTGTATTTTAGACAAGTTGGCTCAGATCAAATGAGACTTGGCCTTAAGTTTGAAGTATAACTCGATCCATTACAGACAACCCGGTTAATGAGCCAAGCAATAAACAAAAGATACAACACAAAAATATGTATGAATCTTGCCCATTAGGCTGAGCCCGTGGCCATACTATTGTTCCGCGATAAATAACTTATTAGTTTAAGGTCTTTTCGGAAGTCTCTCACAAAAAGTTAATTATAATCAGCTTTTAATCAAAAAATTGATTATAACCATCTTTCGAAAATAGCTTAAGGTATTAATTATTGGTTGGGTAAAAAAGAAAGGGTAAATTACAAATACATCTTGAGATTTACTTAAGATACATATTGCGACACTTAATTTAAAAAATTACAAATGTCCCTTGTTAAAATTTGTCATTTAACAAAATTAATTAAAAAAATAAAATTCATAATTACTCTCCTATATAATAATAAAATTACTTAAATTATTAATTGAAACATATTTCTAACATCATTAAAAACAGTTAATTGACTTGATAATTTATTAATAAAATGAGCGATTTATTATGAAATTAGAAACATCAGGGGATAGAATGTAATTTTCAAAATTATAGAGATGATTCGTGTTTTAATCAAATCTTAAGGAATGAATTTATAATTTATCCAAAAAGAAAACATGTTGAGATTATCCTGCTTGGACAACATTTTTGGCATTATGACTCATAATAATGATACTCCACATCATGTTATTTCTCAACGCCCATTTTAATCCGAAATATTATTATTTTTATTGTGTTTTATTATTATGAACTTAAAAAAAAAAAAAAAAACCCAAAACGTATATTAAATAACTTATAAAACAAAAGTTCAGAGCAACTAATATATACATATACGTAGATATTATATTTTTTGGTATCCATTTGAATGATTCTTAAAAATCAAGGGAAGTTAGTCCAAAGTAGAAACCTATAGGGGAGTGAGTTGAGATTACAAGAAACTTCGAGGAGTATTCGATAAATACACACTCTTTTATATTGGTGGAGGAGGCTACAGTTCTGTTTGGCTTGAGCTCCTTCACTTCAGCTAGAAAAGGATCAAACTATCAGAGTAGGGTTTTTAGGGTTTAAGAGTGGCTAGGATTGGGTTTTCCCACTGCTAGGGTTCAATTTTCTCACCATTTTCTCTCTCATTTCCTCTATTTGGAACTTCTGATTTCCTCTATCGGAGTCTCAGATCACCATGTGGGCGCTTCGTCGAGCTTCTAATCCTCTCAAGTAACACCTTCCTGCATCTCTCTCTCTCTCTCTCTCTCTCTCTCTCTCTATATATATATATATATATATGTATTACATGTAGACATACATTTATGGGTTTTGTTAAATATTTGTTATGTAGTTGCTGAAATTGCTGAACTTTGAAAGGCCTGTCCTGTTTGGCTGCTGAGAAAGTGGGGGAAAAAATAAAGAAAGTGAAATTTTAAGTCCTAATGGCTACTGTCATTTCTGGGTTTTGTTATATCTGCGTTATGTAGTTGCTGAAATTGTTAAACTTGGAAAGGTCTGTCCTGTTTGGTTGCTGAGAAAGTGGGGGGAAAAGTAAAGAAAATGAATTTTTTGAGTCCTACTGGTTACTGTCATTTCTGGGTTTTGTTGTATATTATTTATGTAGTTGATGAATTCGTTGATTGTTGAAAGGTCTGACATGATTGTATTTTTATCAAAATTATATCTACATTTTTTTCGGGTTTTGTACTGAAGAACAAGGGTTTCTGTTGGCTAAACTTTGTTACCATGTTTGGTTGCTGGGAAAGTGGGGGGAAAAAGTAAGGGAAGTGAAACTTCAAGTCTTGTGGCTACTGTCATTTCTGGGTTCTGATATATATTCGTTACGTAGTTGATGGAGTTGTTGAATTTTGAAAGGTCTGTTGTGGTTGTAATTTTATAAAAAAATCTATTTTTTTTCCTGGCTTTGTTTTAAAGAACAAGGGTTTCCGTTGGCTAATCATTGGTTACCTTGTTTGGTTGCTGAGAGAGTTGGGGGGAAAGAAAAGAAAGTGCAACTTTGAGTCGTATGGGTAGCTTTCTATTAATGAAAAGATTTGGACTCATTAAGACAAATATTTCTAGTAAGTCTTTGTGAATCCATACGACTTTCGTTCTTCCATTTCTTTGTCCTGAACTATCAATTGACTTGGGTTCTTGGGTACTTCAAGATGGAGATAATTGAAGTGTTGATTTTCTTATTTATTATCATCTTATAACATTTCTAAGCAACCAAACAAAATGTTAGGCGCTCATCACTTGGAAATCGATTTTTTGCTCTCTGTTTTACAATCTTCTTTTCCTTTTATTTATTTGCGTTCAGTTTCTTTTGGTCTTTATGTTCAATTAAAATTTCAAACGTGCACATGGACGAACACATTTTATTTATAAAAAATAAATAACTTGCAGGACTGAATCCAAGCAGGGCATTAACTCTTGTTATTGACATTCTTCTTCAAAAAAACATTATGCTGTACAGCCTGTACATTGTTTCGTTATAAACTTTATAATCCTCACCAGGGAAAAGGAGGGCCTTATTCTATTTAATAAATTGGTCAGGGGTGAAATAGAGTACAAAGCAGGCGGTAAATTGTTGAGGGAGATTTCTTCCATTTTTTAGTACCTACGTACATATAATTTATAAACAATAAATTAATGCAATTTTGAATATTGGTTGCATGCCTGTTACTGATTCATGTCGTGGTTTCATAATTGCTTTCATTGACTGCATTCAGGAATCGAGTGCTTGGCATCGGAACTTCTAGAGCTTGTTGTGCTAAATCAGAAGTAGCAAGTTGTTGTTTAGATGTCAAAGCCAGTAATGGTGATTCTCACCTAGTAGCATCTGATGGATGCATCTCTTTGAAGAGATTTTACAGTGCAGCACATGGTTCCCCAAATTTCTTTATGGGGTGTTGCAGTTTTTCTTCACAGGCTGACACAAAAAGCAGTGCACAAGAAGAAGATGATTTGGAGGATGGGTTTTCTGAGCTTGAGAATGCAGCTAGTGCTGCTGATGTGGTTCAAGACAGCAATGTTGACGATTTAAACGAAGATCAATTGATTTCCGAACCAGAGCTCTCTGAAGAAGAAGATGATGGTGATGGTGTAGAAGAACCTCAAAATGAGCTGGAATTATTTGATATTGAGGCAGAAGTAACTGAGAAAAGACCTCCACAAATGAGAGCTTCTTCGGCATTGTTCAAGGCTATCATGGCTGCTCCAGGTTTGTCTGTTCAAAGTGCTTTGGATAAGTGGGTTGAGGAGGGAAATGACTTGAATCGACCTGAGATAGCCTTGGCCATGCTCAACCTTCGGAAACGTCGGATGTATGGGAGGGCCTTGCAGGTAATTTGTCTCAATTCTTTTGTTCCATATGATTAATCTGAGTTAGCTTGTGTTAAGAGTATTTGTGCTTAAATCTTCACTTTTAAATTCTAGCAGTCTGTAATCTGGTTTCAATAAGTAGATGCGGTATACTGAATGTGTTAACCAGCCTTTACATTGATTTATTTATTATCTTTGTTTTCAATGTTTTGTGGCTCTAAATCAGGATAACAAAGTTGGGAAAACTCTTAAAAGAATAAAGACCCTTCAAAAAGTTTTCTGTTTACAACCTAGCAACAAAGCCGTAATCGCAAGTCCTAGGGTTTAAAGGATAATTTTTCCCCTTATGGAGTAAATAAAGTTTTAAGATTTTTTTTGTCCATTATTAATCAATCTTAGCCACTACTTCATGCAGTGTGGTTCTTCATGGTAATCTCTTTATATAATCATGCAACATGATATTATACATTCTTAATAAGATGGAAAATATGCTGCTTGTATCTTTCTTCATCAATTGAATTAGTTGTCATTCTTTTTTTAAGTTGCAATTCAATCTTGTTACTATTCTCTTTTTCCTTTTCTTATTTTTAATACCTTGAGTCTTTATCAAGAATCTCTTATCACTCTTTGGGCTTCAATATGGCTTAGTCCATTCAGTTGTATCCATCTTCAATTTTATAAGTGTTTTATAATTAAACCCCATAACTTGATGATTAATTGAATTGTCTTCTAAATTGCATACAATTTTCAGTGCCCCTCCCCAACCCCATAAATTTAAATTTTGCTCATTAGTATGAATTTTCGTCATTCCCCCACTTTTCTGCACTTTTCTGGCGAGAGATGACTGACCTCTTAGTTGTTAGGATAAGTATAATAATAGTTTTTCAAGATCTTTCTTACTTCTTTTGCTTCATTTGGTTCATAGGAATGAGTTAGAATGGAATGTAATAATCATTACTTAAAATCACCTATGGAATGATCATTTCCTTACAATGTTCAATGACGATTCCGTTTGCATTGTATTTTTCACTATTTTTTTTAGTCAACCCAACATAGGAATGAATATTTTGATGGAATGACCATTCCATTCCGGTGAACCAAACACTACCTTAAGAGTTTAGTAAACTCGTGAGATTAAAATAGTACCTGATTTCTTGCAAGTTGCAATATTTATCCTTAATGTGTCATACATGTGTCTCATATCATTGTCCATACTTTATAGAAAGTGAGTATTTATAAGAAAACATAATGTTACTAAGCCTCGTTTGGCAACTGACTTTTTTAGCCAAAAAGCCAACAACCTATACCAAAAAGTCAAAGAATCTCTTTTCTTTTTACTTTTTGCATATCTTTTCGTAAAAAAGACAAAAAGTCATCCCAAACACACTAGTTTTTTTTACATAATATTTTAGTCAAAAAGTCAAAAAGTTACTAAAAAAGCTTGTTCCCAAACGAGGCCTAAAATCTGATCTCAACAAATAAACTTGCGTGCTGCACTTTTACATGTATGATATAACACCTAGTGTGTGAGGAAAAAGCACAAGAGCAAGCACTGAACTGTTCTGTTATTCCATATTTGTGCTTCATATTTTGCAATAGCTTGCTTCGCATTTGTTTACCTTAGATGTTGAGAAATGATTTGTTGTTAGTGGCTGACCATTTTTTACTACCCTTTTTTATCCTGATTTGTCAAAGACACAGCCCTTGTCATTTTTCAGTTTTATTCATAGTTCTTTGGTTTTGCAGCTCTCAGAGTGGCTGGAGTCAACTAAGCAGCTCGACTTTGTTGAGAGAGATTATGCTTCTCGCCTTGATTTGATTTCCAAGGTACGGGGTCTCCAAAAGGCCGAGAACTACATTGAGAAGATCCCGAAATCCATGAGGGGAGAAATCACATATAGAACTCTTTTGGCTAATTGTGTTGCCGCAAACAATTCGAAGAAAGCAGAGCAAGTGTTCAACAAAATGAAAGACCTTGAATTCCCGATCACAGTCTTTGCGTGCAATCAGTTGCTCCTCCTATACAAGAGACTCGACAAAAAGAAAATAGCTGATGTGTTGTTGTTAATGGAGAAAGAGAATGTGAAGCCAACGCGCTTCACGTATAGAATCTTGATAGACACCAAAGGCAAATCTAATGACATAACAGGGATGGATCAGATTGTTGAGACTATGAAAGCTGAAGGGATTGAACCCGATTTAAACATACAAGCAATATTGGCTAGGCACTATGTCTATGGTGGGCTCAAAGAAAAAGCCGAGGCTGTTTTGAAGGAGATGGAAGGAGGCAACACGAAAGAGAACCGTTGGGCTTGCCGTGCTTTGCTTCCTCTGTATGCTGCTCTCGGAAAGGCCGATGAAGTGGGGCGAGTTTGGAAGGTTTGTGAGTCTAATCCCAACCCCGATGAGTGCATGGCTGCCATTGAAGCTTGGGGGAAACTAAACAAAATTGAAGAAGCCGAGGCGGTCTTCGAACGGATGTTGAAAACGTGGAAAAAGCTATCTTCAAAGCATTATTCAACGCTCTTGAAAGTTTATGCAAACCATAAGATGTTGGCAAAGGGAAAGGATCTTGTGAAGCGAATGGCAGATAGTGGGTGCCGGGTTGGCCCATTGACGTGGGATGCGCTTGTGAAGCTCTACGTGGAGGCTGGGGAGGTCGAAAAGGCCGACTCAATTCTACAGAAAGCTGCACAGCAGAACCAGATGAAGCCGCTGTTCAGTTCTTACATGGCGATTATGGACCAGTATGCGAACAGAGGCGATGTGCACAATGCTGAGAAGATGTTTCATCGGATGAGACAGTCTGGGTACGTGGGTCGGCTTAGGCAGTTCCAAACTTTGATCCAGGCTTATATTAATGCCAAGTCGCCAGCCTACGGGATGAGAGAGAGGATGAAGGCAGACAATATTTTCCCAAATAAAGCAGCCGCTGAGCAGTTGGTTCAGGTTGATGCATTTAGGAAGTCGGTGATGTCGGATTTGCTCGACTGAGCGGTGAGGGTTTTAAGAAGTTCCAAGTGAATCAAAGTTATGTTGTTTGGGTACTTATTTTTTACTCTTGTTTATACCAAACTAGTAGGGATTTACTTGTAGGCGGAAACATTTTTGGATCATGCTTTTTGCTGTATCTGCTGCTATTGAAGCTTTTTAATATGTCAGTTCATATGTCCAAATCCACCAGATTGATTTTGCTGAGTTTTTATAACAAATTTGCTACCACATCTCTGTTATTATTCACAGGGAGACCATATGCCCAAACCACGAGTGTGTGATCAGATTTAATAAGCATCGATATTTGATTAATATAATTTTTTTTAATTTTTTTTGATAAAAATAATGTTTTGGATGAATTTTATACATTAAACAATTTAAATTATGAAGTACTGTTTACTCTGATTGTAAAGTAGAGCTCATCCCTAGAGTTCAACAAGCATCGACAATTCTGTCTGGGTCTGAATATGAAAATTTCTCGTGTTTAAACCTAAGATGATATTACAGAGTTCATCTAAGAAACTCATATATTACATAAAAATTAAATATTAATAATTTTATAATTGAGTTGACATAAAAACTAAATATTTAGTCATTATATATTTTTTATGTTTTAAACAATTAAAAAATAATATTTTAGATATTTTACGTACACTTACATTATGTTTAATGGATAATATAATTTTTTGTTTGATTTTACTTAACAAAAATAGACAAATGATTTAAATTGAAAATAAAAAAAAAAAAATGAAAAAATTGGTCTGAGATCCCTGCCCAATTTTTGATAGGAGGAGAGGTTCGCAATAATATTTTTTGATGCCTAAGGTCCCTCAACCTTAGTTTACGTTATAAAATACCTAATTACCCTTCTTTATAACATAAGTTTGTTTGGATTTTGGCAAACTGAATATTCTATTGCTGACTTCACGGTGGAGATTTTGGCACAAACGGACTTCATAGTGGAGATTTCGTAGGGATTTTGCAAGTGTTGCAGTGGACTTGACGAAGGAGATTGCTATGATCGTGTCGGTGTTACAGTGGTGTTGATCGTATAGGTTTTTCAGTGGAGCTGAATCAGATATGTTTTCGATGGAGATTCCACATGGATTTCGATTTTTGTTTTGAATTTTATGTAAGGATTCCGATTTCATATTAGTTTTTCGAGTGTATTTTTGCATTAGGTTTTTGTTTTCAGTTTTGATCAATTTAAAAGAGAGACTAGCTCAGTGAAGTTGTTTATGATTTTTTGTGTTGATTTTTCATTCTTTGTTATTGATCAATTTTAGAGAGAGGCCAACTCGATATAGTTGATTTTGATTTTTAGAGTTCATTTTTCATTCTCTGTTTTTTGATCAATTTCAAAGAGAGTTGACAGTGGAGTTGATTTTGATTTTTAGAGTTCTTTTTCATGCTCTGTTTTTCATCAACATGCTTATCAATAATAAGTTTTGTTCTCTATTTTTTCAAACCAGAGAAATTTCTTTAAACCAGAGATAAGTGTAAATTTCTTATCATTTTTTGTTCTCTGTTTTTTTTTTTTTTTTTTTGCACTTTTGTTGGTATAGTCCAGAGAAAATTGTAAGTTTGTTATTATAATCTAATGAAAATCACAGAGAAAATTATAAATTCATATGAACATTTTATTATAAGTTTCTAATGCAGATAGAATCTTAGAGAAAATTGTAAGTTTGTAATTCAGTGAAAATCACATAGAAAATTGTAAATTTGTAGTCTAGTGAAAATCACAAAGAAAATTGTAATTTGTTATGGACATGTTATTATAAGTTTGTTATTTATTTATTTATTTATTCCTTAATTGAATGTTTTGTGAGCATAACATATCTTCTCTATGAGTTTCTCTGCGTTTATATGGAATAGTTAGCATTTTTGTCAATTTGATGTTAATGTGTTTTTGTTTTTGTGATTTTGAAAGTGAATATAAGTTCTTAAATTTCTCTGGATTTTTATTTGTAATTCAGAGAAAATTATAAGTTTGTCATTCACTTTCAGTTTGTAGTTCAGAGAAAATTATAAGTTTGTAGTTCAAAGTGAATATAAGTTTTTGTTTCTCTGAGCAAAAGTTACTTTTTGTGTTTTTTCTTTCAGTTTAGATGGACGGTGCAATGTTTTTTGTTATTTTGAAGGTGTATATAAGTTTGTAAATTTCTCTGAATTTTGATATGAGTGCAATATTGCACAATCGCACAGAGAAAATTATAAGCTTGTAGTTCAGTGAAAATCACAGAGAAGCTTATAATTTCATAATAGACCTTCTGTGTGATTTTTGTCTATGATTGTATTTAATAGTTAGCAGTAAATTTCTCTGTGATTCTCTCTAGATTCATTAAGTTTTATGTGATTTTGTTTGTGTTATCTTGAAGGTGAATATAAGTTTGTAAATATCTCTAGACTTTATTTGAATCCAGAGAAAATTATAAGCTTGCTATTATAATCTTGAGAAAATTATAATTATTAGGAATTTCTCTGAACTTTTATGTTGTTCTTGTGAATTGTTTTTATATTAAACAAATTATTTTTCTTGTTTTTTCTTTCAATTTTGATGAACAGTGTAGTGTTGTTGCTATGCAAATATGGAAATGATACTATTGTCATTAATATTTCATGTGAATTAAATTTTGAAGAATTGGTTGCCATTTTGTGTAAAACATGGGAGAATTTGAAACTTGAGACGATGTGTATTTCATATTCTATTATGGGCCATCTGAATGGTATGGTTCGAAATAATATTGATTTTTTGAATATGTTGAGGGTTGTTTGTGCACGTGGTGTTGATATAGTTAATGTTTCAGTTATTAGGTGTAGTACTTTTGATCAAGAGGATGAAGTGACGTCTAATTGGATAGATGTTGTGCATGGTGAATGTGATAGGCTTGTGGATATTGAAAAGAATTCACTCTCTAAGTTTTGTTCTCACCAAGAAAAGGTGTTATTGTCAATTGGTTGGCAAAATAATGTTACAAGTATTGGACAAAAGTTTAAAGGTGGTGTGGTTGAGTTTCGTACTGTTTTAAGCAAGTATGCTATTGAGGTTGGTTTTCAGTTTATGTATGTTAAAATGACAAGCTGAGGGTTATGGCAGAATGTGTATGTAAGGAATCAAGGGGGTGTATGTGGCATGTACTTGCTTTAGTTAAAAAAGCAAATGGGTTCTTTTACAGAAGAACTTTGAACAATGAACATACGTGTGGTGTGACGGTTCATACTAGTAAACATGCTATGATGACTTCCAGCTTAGTTTCTGGGCTAGTACTTGAAGAGGTAAGTGCAAAACATTTAACTCGTCCAGTGGATATTGTCAAAAGAAATGAAAGACAAGTATAAGATCTCAATCAATTATAATTGTGGTTGGTTGGGGGTTGAAAAAGCAAAATGTAGTACATATGGAGATTCTTGTTTGTCATTCGATCAATGACGAATGTATTTTGATGAGGCATTGAAGAATAATCCAGGTAGTCAGTCGTTTTGAGTTAGATTTTGAAGATAACAAGCGTTTGAAAAGAGTGTCTGTGGCTTTTCATGCATGCATTGTTGGTTTCAAATATTGTCGGTCATTGCTGTTTGAAAAGACGATACAAAGGAGTTATGTTTGCTGCGACGGGGAAAGATAGGAATGAAGGTAATTGTAAATATATCTAATTTTATGTAAGTATGTGAATTTTCTATACATGTGAGAATTGAGTGAGTTTTCTATTTTTGTGGTTATGTTTTGTGATTTTTCTCTGACACTTTGAATTTTTTTTGGTTTTGGCCACTGTGTGAATTTTCTCTAATTTTGGCTACTGTGTGAATTTTATTTGGATTTTGGTCAGTGTGTGAATTTTCTCTGGATGTTGTCATTATGTGAATTTTATCTGTAGCTGGTCACTAAGTGAATTTTCTCTAGATATTGTCATTGTGTAATTTTCTCTATAATTGGTCACTAAGTGAATTTTCTCTGGATATTGGCAATGTGTGAATTTTCTCTGAAGTTGGTCACTAAGTGAATTTTCTCTAGAGGTTGACATTGTGTGAATTTTCTCTGGATTTGGCCACTATGTAAAGTTTCTTTAGATGTTGGCAGTGTCAAATTTCTCTGGTTATTTATTGTTCTAATTTTCTCTGCATGTGTATATCTAATATGCTTGTTCTTATTTGTTTTGTAAGTTTTTTTCCTACAGCTTTTGCCGTTGTTGATGCTGAGAATAAAGACAATTGGTGTTGGTTCCTTGAACATTTATATGAAGTATTAGGATCGGAGAGGGTGATAAGTTTCATATCAGATCGACATTGTGGTATTTATGGAAGGAATTGCTAGGCTTTTTCCTAATTGCTATCATGGATTTTGTCTTGAACATCTAAAGAGAAATTTGAGGGATAGGTTATCATGTAGAAACACAAATTTGGTTAGGGAGACGATTGTGTCCAAGTTTTTAGAATGTGCATATGTGCTAACAATTGCATTCAATTTCAAGTTAAATGAATTAAAGGGTGAGAGAGGAGACATTGTGAGTATTTTCTTGAGAAGTTTACCATATGAAAATTAGAGTGATGCATATTTTGAGGGGAAACGTTATGGTGAGACTTATTCAAATGTTGCTGAGTCATTCAATTTATGGATATGAGAAGCTCGACACTTGCCAATAACAAATTTGGTGAACATGATACGGTTACAAATCATGAATATGAGATCTAATAGGAGGTTGCTCTCTAGTAAATGAAATAAAGTTCTCTGTCCTTGTATGGATAGTGTATTGGAGAAGGCTTTTATGGATGGGAGGACATGGAATGTGAGTTTATCATCTGACAATGTCTTTAAAGTGCATTGCTTTCCTTCGGTTATGGTTGGTCTTGGGTTGAGAACTTGTTCATGTCGAAAATGAGAAATAAATGGGTATCCATGTCAACATGTTGTTGCTGCAATTTTTAGGAATAGAAAGAATTTGAATTCATTTGTTGAACCATTTTTTCATGCTAATATGTATAGTCAAGCATACTCATTTTTTATTGGCCTAGTTCCAACTGTCGAAAAACTTGTGTGTAACATTGATGATGTTATAATTTTACCTCCATTGAGTAAGAGATCAACTGGGAGGCAAAAGAAGAACAGAATTGCTTCTACTGAAGAGTTTAAAAAGGTGATGAAGTGTAGTCGATGTGATAGTATTGGTCACCATAATAAGAGGATATGCAAGGAACCTTTGTTA